AGGATGGAGCCAGTCTCTTCCCAGTGGTGCCCAGCGCCAGGACAAGGGGCTATGGGCACAACCTGCAGCAGAAGAGGTTCCATGCGAATGTGAGGAAGAACTTGTTGACTGTGAGGGTGGCCGAGCCCTGGCCCAGGCTGCCCAGGGGGGCTGTGGAGTCTCCTTCTCTGGAGATCTTCAACCCCCGCCTGGACGCTGTCCTGTGCCCCCTGCTCTGGGTGAGCCTGCTTGGGCAGGGGGGTGGCGCTGGGTGAGCTCCGGAGGGCCCTGCCAGCCCCGGCCATCCTGGGATTCTGTTCCAGTGTTTCATCGTTCTTGCAGTAAGGAAGTTTTTCCTTACGTGGAAGTGGAATTTATGTGTTTTCAGTTGTGCCTGTTGCCTCTCGCCCTTTCTCTGGGCACTGCTGAGAAGAGTCTGGCTCCATCGTCTTTCCCCCCTCCCACCAGAGATGCCAAGCCAGGAACGCCATGAAGTCCAGGCTTTCCAGCCGCCCGTGTGCTCCTCCTTGCCCGGTGGGAGGTGAAGGCACCGCACGCTGAGGCTTCGTCTTCTCTCAGCAGAAGACTTCGAAAGAAACATTTGAAAAAAAATGAAATAGATAACAGTGTAATTCCTGTGCCTCAGGTGACTGAATTATCTTTGCAAGGGTCAAGCTCTAGAGGAGGTTTAGTGAAGGGAGCCTCAGCACTAGGGGTGCACAAGCTTAATCATCGTCAACTGTGGTGACACTTGATATAAATAGAAAGATTTTTTCCCCCTGCTTTTGGTGATATCTCCTCTTCCGCTGTGGTTTACAAATAACTTCTAATGTGCAAAGAACTTTATTTCTGAAGTGCAGGGTGAGAATACAATTGAATCTCTGAGCCCTTTGGTTCTCCTTGCGGATGGGAGACCTCTGGAATGAATTACATTGATAACACTCGTCTTGTCCTAGGTACTTTTTGGCCTTACATGTGGAAATCAGTCGTAGCTCTAATTTCAGAGCAAGGCCAAGGAATCAGTTGTCTCCAGCTACAGGGAGAGGTGACTAGATGATCTCCCGAGGTCCCTTCCAACCCTTGCGATTCTGTGATTAAGCCTCAGCACTAGGGGTGCACAAGCTTAATCGTCGTCAACTGTGGTGACACTTGATATAAATAGAAAGATTTTTTCCCCCTGCTTTTGGTGATATCTTCTCTTCCGCTGTGGTTTACAAATAACTTCTAATGTGCAAAGAACTTTATTTCTGAAGTGCAGGGTGAGAATACAATTGAATCTCTGAGCCCATTGGTTCTCCTTGCGGATGGGAGACCTCTGGAATGAATTACATTGATAACACTCGTCTTGTCCTAGGTACTTTTTGGCCTTACATGTGGAAATCAGTCGTAGCTCTAATTTCAGAGCAAGGCCGAGGAATCAGTTGTCTCCAGCTACAGGGAGAGGTGACTAGATGATCTCCCGAGGTCCCTTCCAACCCTTGCGATTCTGTGATTAATTACTCTTCCCAGGGGGTATTAACAGAAGGATTTTTGCCGTCTGATGCGCACAGGCCTATTCCTTTGTCCAGCCCTCTTTGCCTTGTACAGTAAATAAACATTTAAAGTTCAGTTCCGTTACTAACGGGGAATTCAGGGCGATGGCATAATTCCAGGTATGGCGTATGGCTCGGCCGAGGCGCCGGGATGGAAGCGCAGGAGCGGGGATGAGGGTGGCCGGTGTCAGGCAGGGGTGAGCTGGTGCCTCCGGCCGCTGTCCTGCCCGTCTCGGCTCAGCGCCTCTGCCAGGTGTCCAGAGCGGTTTTGGGTGGTTGGACAGTGGTGGCACTGACCATAACCGAAGACCTCATCAGCAGAAAACAGTTTGTTGTCACTAACGAGCAGTAATCTGCAATGTAGGTTAAAATCTGACTCCGGCGGGATAATCACTAGAGGGCAGTCTGGGTTTAGGTGTGGACAGGGTGAAAACTGCTGCGGGTCCTCTGCCAGCCTAAAACCATGGAGGTGAACACATGTGGGCCCACGGCGGCCGCGCAGGCGTCTCACCGCACACCAGCACCTCCCCGGGCCATGTTTGAAGGACCTGTGCCAGCAGGCCGGGGGCTGCTGTGGACCAGGGTGGGAAAATAACATTACCTGGGACCGTGGCACGCTGAGCTGCCAAAGTGCTCAAAACTTGACCGGATTTCTCGTGAAGTGGGAGTGTGTTGGAGTCGGTGATTAGGGATGGAGAAGAGGTTAAGGAAGAGCATTCCTG